TCCTCCTCCTCCTCACTGCCTCCCTCGTGGTCTCTTCATCGGCCTCCTTCTTCCCACTCCTCCTCAGATTCCTCCTCCACTCCTTCCCTTCGTCCCTCAAATATGTTCCACCTGCCCCTCCCCCCTCCTCTTCCTTCGCCTCACAACTCACTCCACATCCTTAATCTCCCCATCATCCTCCAAATCCTTCTCCAACTGTTCGTCCTCTTTCTCCTCCTCATTCCGCTCTCCGTTCTCATTCACAACCACTCCCATCCTCCCCCGCCGCCTCATCCCAAGATCTTCTTCCTCCTCCTCCTTCTCTTCCTCCTCCTCCTCCTCCTCCTCCTCCTCGTCCTACTCGTGATGGTGCTCCTCCTCATCCCCAACATTTTCCTTGTGCTGCGTCCCCTCGTTCTGCTCCTCATTCTCCTCAACTTGTGCCTGCTCCCCAACCGCCTTCCTCCTCCGCTGCCTCCTCATGCCAACCCCATCTTCTTGATCCCCCTCTCATCATCCCCCTCCCCAACTTCAACATACTCCTTACGCTCATTACGATCCTGCCCATGTATCCTTCACTTCGCCCTCATCCTTTTAACCTTCATATCAATCGTCGCCACGATCCTCGTTGACTTCCTCCTCTTCCTCCTCATCCTTGCCCTCCGCTTGCTCCCCCTGTTCCTCTAAAGTTGCACGCAATCCTCCTCCTCCTCCTCCTCCTCCTGCTCCTCCTCCTCCTCCTCCTCCTCCTCCTGCTCCTCCTCCTCCTCCTCCTCCACCTCCCCACCATCACCAATCATCGTTCTCATCCTTCTGCCCCACCTGCTGCTGCGCCTGGCCCTCCCTCCCTGCCCGCCTGCCTCCTCGATGCCCCATCCCCCCCCTCCGACCCCCCTCCCTCCTCCCCCGCGTGCCCGCGCGAGGCCGCCCTCAGAGGCTGAGCTTGGTGCTCTCGCACGTGCGGCACGTGCTCGTGGCCGACGGCGGTGCCTCCCCGCGCCAGGCCGTGGGCGAGGCGCCGGAGCGCGCGGCTTCTGCGGCCGCGGCCGGCCGGGCCCGCCCGCTGCGGGCCAGGGGCAAGAGGCAACGGTGGGGGGGGGGGGGGACATTCGGCGGCGCGCACAAAGGAGGGCACAGGGGGGGAGGGGGGGAGAGGCGTCTCAGGAGGCGCACAAGGGGGGCAGGGGGGGGAGGGGGGGAAGGCTGCTCAGGAGGAGGCCGCTGCTCAGGAGGCGCGGGCCCCACATCTGCAGGACGAGGCCCGCGCCGGCTAGGAAGCAGGGGTGCTCCTGAGAAGCCTTCCTCCCTCCCCCTGCCCTCCTCTGCGCGTGGCCGAGACATAGGCATGGGGAGAAACATCGACCAGGGATCGGCGATGCATCGACGGATCGGCAATGGACCCCCGATAGCGAAACCGCACCCTCCTGGACGGGGTGGGACTATCGGACCCCTGTCGGCGATGAATAGCCGATATGGGGTCGATGCTGCCCCCCCCCCCCCCTATGCCTGTCTCCCCCCGATCGTTGCCCTTGAAGGGGGTGGGGTAACTGAGACCCCTTCGCAACTGTACTCGACGATCTGATCTGCTCAACCCTGATAATTTTGGGGGAAACCAGCAGGTACCAATACCGCCACTCCCCGGACCTCTCCCAGGGTGCGTTCTGACCAGGATTGCAAGGCGAATCCAGCGGTGGCGACGAGGGCCTCTCAGGAGGCCCAGAAAGGGGAACACGAGGCAAGGGTAGAGGTATGGGTAATTACGTACCTTTTCCTCCTCAGAAATTTGTCCACCTTCGGCCTCTCGGGCCCGCTCCAGGGCCCTGGGGACATCCCAACGAACCCGGAGCGGAAAGGTGCTCCCCTTTGCGGGAGGGTCGGGCCCTCGGGGGCCGCGCCCCCGCAACAAAAACCGATCGATCGCCCGTCGAAAGAAAAACAGCTCGTCGGATGCCTGGGCTCGCCCCCCGAGGCCCTTCAGTTCAGCGATCCGGCCCCTGAGCGTCTCCCTGGCGACTGGGGAGGCGAGGATTACTGATGGATTTCGGTATGCCAGGACACCGAAATCCATCAGTACTCCTCGCCTCCCCAGTCGCCAGGGAGACGCTCAGGGGCCGGATCGCTGAACTGAAGGGCCTCGGGGTGCGTCTCTGGGCTCGCGTCGTGACACAGGAAGAAGAAACGGCCTAAGCATGCACTTTCTTCGGTCCGCGCGGATTTCTTGGATCTGCGCCGGACCCTTCCCCCCCCCCGCGCGGAGCGCGCCAGGGGCGGCGCCAGAGGCGCCGCCAAGGGGGCCCAACGCCGATCCAAGAAATCCGCGTCGAGCGTCGAAAGTTTACGTTTATGCAATTTTCTTCTTCGGCAAAAGCGCGACGGGAGGCTTCTCGCTCTTTTCGGCCTCGGCTGGGGATCCTCGCCGGGCCCCAAGGCTGTCAGAAACGCTTCGGGTGAAAAGCCAGCCCTGGGGAGCGGTTCGAGACCTCGCAGGGCCCACGTCCGTGAATAATAGAGGCGTGCCGAGTAGATGGGGTTGGAGGATCGCGCCGCATCGCCAATGTCTGCGGTGCATCGGCGCCGTCGGCGTGGAGGAAATCGGGCTCCACGTCGGGCCGTATCCGCGATGCATCTGCGATGCGGCGCGATCCTCCGACTCCATCGATTTCGACCCCATCTGGGAGGCCCAGAAATAACTCACGACGTCTCATTACACCAGCCTTGCAGACGTGCTGCAGCGGATTTCTGCATGGAATTTGGCCCGAAGCGGCGAGCGAAAAACGAAGTGAATTTCACGTAGATTTATTTTTGCCTTCATTCCCGGCCCCAAAAGAATCCTCACGAAATTCACCTCGGAATCTGGCACAGCATTCTCATGGACTCTTCGGGCCCATCCTATCGTTCTCCGAACGAAATCCGCTCTGCGATGTTGGCGCCATGAGACGTCGGGGTTGTTGAGCAGGGACCGACCGTCCCGGCATTTCTATAGGCCTACCACGACATGTTCTTAGAATACAATGTTCTTAGAACATAAACCCGATGTGATAAAACAAAACAGTCCCAGCCAGAAATGTTCTAAGAACATGTCGTGCAAACCACACAAAGTTCTTAGAACACTGTTTGGTAGGGCTATAGGCACGCCGGGACGCTTCGCCACTGCTTGAGGTTGATCACAGGAGCGGGCGCGAGGAGGCCTTCGGAGCCAGAGGCTACCATTTGGACACCCGAAATGGGTACGGAAAGAATGGGCACAATGCCCAACAACAAATGTTGCCCCAAACCAGCAGCGGCCGCTGTTGGGCAGGCGGCCTTCTGTTTCCAGTGGACACTGCAGACCGCGGCGGCGCGGACAGCGAGTCCTGTCCAAAATGAACAGGTACTGCTGTTGGGCATTGTACCCATTCTTTCCGTACCCATGGCCTCGGGGGCCACCCCACGGGGGCCACCCGAGGCGGCCGTGGCCTCTCCATGGGGGGGGGGGCCGGCAGAGCGGGCCCGTGGGGCACCCCTCACGAGGCCCATGGCGGGCCCCGAGGGGGCCTCCGGGAGGTCTGCGGGCTGTCCGCGGGCCTCCTATGGGTCGCTGTCGTCACCGCGGCCGGATATTCGCCGCGGGGTCCCGGTCAGGACGCGCTGGGAGACAGGCCCAGGGGCCGATTTCGAGGCGTGTCGTCGTGGTGGTGGTGGTGGTGGTGGTGGTGGTGGTGGTGGTGGTGGTGGTGGTGGTGGTGGTGGTGGTGGTGGTGGTGCTGGTGGTGGTGGTGCTGGTGGTGGTGGTGGTTGGTGGTGGTGGTGGTGGTGGTGGTGGTGGTGGTGGTCGTCGTCGTCGTCGTCCTCCTCCTCCTCCTCCTCCTCCTCCGTGGCCAGAGGCCACGAGATCATCGAATCGGCCAGCTCCTCGGAGATCCGTCTCCTTCTGCAATGGGGTCGGCCAGGCTCTGTCCTGGGCAGCCCCCCCACCAGACCTCCGACCGCTCATGTGGTCTCGTGAGTCGTCCGATCGAGGGCCCTCGAGGGCCCAGAAGCGACCCTGGCGCCGAGAAGGGCGATGTCGGATCTGCGGCCCGCGGGGTGGCTCCGGGCAGGGAGTTGTCGGGTGGGGGGCGCCAGGAACAGGACGATCGACAACGACGATCGACAGTGACGGCGATCGACGACGACGATCGAAGATACGACGACGACGACGACGACGACGACGACGACGACGACGACGACGACGGCGGCGGCGACGACGGCGGCGACGGCGACGACGACGACGCCCTGGCCCGTGGACCTGCGGGGTGGCCCCGCCCGACCGCGGCCCTGGAGTTCGCAGGTCCTCCTGGCGAAGATGGAAGGACAGAGAACGGCACGAACACACAACCTCTTGGGGATCTGTGCGGATTCCTCGGGTCAGCGCTGCCCAAGGTGGCGGCCCGTCTTCCCATCTCACCGTCGTAGGGAGATGCGACGTCCCTGAAGACGGGACGTGGTGGGCACGAGAGGGCACCATAGCCGGCTCAAAATCGAAAGAGGCATCCTAGCCTCATCGTTCATCTTATCATTCACTTCGTTCCGTGCGTAGCATGCTCTCCCCTGCCCAGGGGTTGCACTGGAGGCGCCGCCAGGGGACCCAGTGCCGGCCCAAGAAATCCAATCGGACCTCCGAACTATTAACAGATGTCCGGCGTATCGCTTCTTGTTCAATACGGGCTCCCCCGAAGTCCCGACTGTTTCCCCAGGGCGGGCGTTCTGTCCCGAGTCCTTGTTTCCATGGAGGCTGAAGTCAGCGGTAAACATCGCGTCCCCTGTTCTTTTGTCTATGCGTTGGAGGTCTCTCGGCTTGAGCGGGGCAGCGCAATCGAGGAACCAGCTCAGGTAGGAACAAAGAAAGGCGACACCAACACCACCAGGGCGAGGAGATGCGAGGAGGCAAGGGGGATCTCCCTGGTGGGGTGCCCCCCCCCCCCCTCTCGGTCGAGACATCCCCAGCCTCCAGCTCGGGGTGGCATCGTGGACCTCCTCGCTGGAGGTGGGCCCCCTGGTGGTCTTGGCATCGCTTCTCCTCCCTCCGATCAAGGGGTCGGAAGCACGTCGAGCCTGCATCGGCGATGCCTCCCCGACAGAGCGGCGACAGGTCCCCGACGGCGAGCCCGCCTCGCTCCCGGGCGGAGCGGGCCCTCGGGCGCTTGGGGGTCGACTGGGCGTTGCCCAGGGGCGTTGGGCGATTGGGCGTCTTGGGGCCGTCGGCGCTCGGGCCTGGGCCCGGGGCGCTCCGCACCGTCGGCGCTCTGGGCGATTTGGGGGGGTCGCTGCCCATTCCCCCCCCCTGAGCCTGTGGCCCCCCCCCACCCGAAGGCTGCCTCCTGGCTGTCGGGTCATATAGCTCGGCCCTCTGGCGGCCGTGCGGGACGATCCCGGGTGGCCCCGGGACGCTCTCGGCGAGGCGCCGCCGCCGGCATGCATCCCGAGGCTGGAAGGCCGACGACGGCCGATGACAGCGTCGGAAACGCGCCCCCGAACGTTGCCCCTGAGGGTTGCATTTGCGCGGCTCTTTTGGCAGGCGCCGAGGGGGGGGACCAGCTCCAGGGGGGAAACCTCGCGCTGGCACGCGCAGGCTTCGGATTCCGCCGCCGACCCTGAGGCTTGCGCTCGCGCCGCTTCTTTGGCCCTTCCGGGATCGGCGACTCCGAAGGTTGTGGCTTGCAGAGGGTGCGACTTGCAACCGGCACCCCTGGGGACACCCAGGGGGCGGGCGAGAACCTCGAGAGAGCTCTCCGCCGCGCCACAGGGAGGCCTGACGAGGACAAGGCCGTGCCCCCCAGGCCCCAACGGCGCCGATCGCAGACCACACCCCGACGTGACCACACCCTTTGATCGAGCAGGAGATCGAATGCAGCATTCACTTACCCCAAATTTGACATGTTCGTATAATCTACGACAACAAATCCGCATAATGTTCCTAGATCTGTGCGCTTTCTACGCGTTGCCCGTCGACCCGACGGATAAATCACACTTCTGGGGCACGTCAATTCTGCAGCCGATATCCTACAGTCGGACCCAGGCCAGAATAAGATCCCTCAAAAACATGAGACCATCCGCCAGCCCAAACGAGCAGAACATGCAAGGGTACCCTCCCCAGGATGCATAAGACCGTCCAACAAAGAAGCACAAAGAACACTATAGGAGACCCTCCCCGAACCGACCTCCATCTTGTACCTCGATCCGACCGCCCCGTGCCAGGCGAGGAGGAGGAGGAGGAGGAGGAGGAGGAGGAGGAGGAGGAGGACAGGAGGAGGAGGAGGTGGAGGAGGAGGAGGAGGAGGAGGAGGAGGGGAGGAGGAGGAGGAGGAGGAGGAGGAGGAGGAGGGAGGAGGAGGAGGTAGGAGGAGGAGGAGGAGGCTACCCTCCCCGAACCGACCTCCATCTTGTACCTCGACCCGACCGCCCCGTGCCAGGTGAGACTCGGGCCACAGCTCGGCTCTCGGGCGGCCGCTCGGGACGCTTCTGGCACCCCCGGGACGCCCTCGGCGAGGCGCAGCTGCTGGCGAGCGCCCCGAGGCTGGAGAGCCGCCGAGGGCCCCCGAGAGCGCGCCCGAAGACCTCGCCCACCCTCCCCGAGCCGACCTCGAGCTCGTCATTACCTCGGTCCGACTGCACTCGCAGCGGAGCCGCCGACGGGAGGCGCCGCGGAGGGGGCCGGCGACCGCGGCGCCGGGGAGGGGCCGCCGCGCGGCTCGCCGCGGGGCGCGGCCGCCAGGGGCAGCGGCAGGGGCGGCAGCGGCTCCGCGGGCCTGCGCGGGCGGGCCCGCCGCCGCCCGCGGGCGCCCGCCCGCGGGAGCGCGGGGCCCAGACTCGGCGGCGAGCCTAGGGGGGGGAGCGAGAGGGAGAAGGCCTCGCGCTTTCGGAGGAGGCCTATCTGCGCCTGCGGGACGGGCTGTGGGAACTCCTCAGGCCCGGGGACGTCCGAGCCTTGCGAGAAGGCCCGCCCCTTCTGTTCTCGCTTCCCCCCCTCGCTCGCCGCCGACAGATCCGATCTGGGCATGAAAAGCACACGGAGGGGGGGTCTTTCGCTGTGTTCGGCCTCCGGGGGGCCCTCGCCGGGCCTCGGGGCCGTGAAGGAACGACTCGGAGTGAAAACCCGCTCCCGGGCAATGGGTCGAACCTCTGGGACGTCGACGCCACGACGAAAAGCATGACGTCGGGGGTCTGGGGAGGGAGGTGCTTTTTGGGAGTCGCACTGCAGCATCACCACCAGGCGGCGAGCACTCCATGAGCTCCTGGGGACATGCGTCAAGTCCCCCCCGTCGGGACGGCCTGTCCCCGAGCAGGGGCAGGGGGAGAGGGGAGGGGAGGGGGATCGAGGGATCGAGGGGCCGAGGGGCCGAGGGATCGAGGGGGGGATCGAGGGATCGAGGGGGATCGAGGGATCGAGGGGATCGAGGGAGAGGGGAGGGATCGAGGGATCGAGGGGCTGAGGGGTCGAGGGGCCGAGGGGTCGAGGGGCCGCCCGCGCCCGCGCCCCCCGAGCAGGGTCGGGAGACGGAGCCGTCGAGGCTTCGGGGCATCTCTGTGCCTTCTGGGCCCTCCTGAGCGAGGGGAGCCTCGTGGCCGCGGTCGGAGGCCTGGGAGTGCCGGTCCGAAGAGGGAGGGGGTCCCAGACCTTCCTGGGGAATCGAAGAGGCTCGCGACGGCCAGTTTTTTCCAAGCTTGGGTCTCTTCCTCCTCCTCCTCCTCCTCCTCCTCCTCCTCCTCCTCCTCCTCCTCCTCCTCCTCCTCCTGGCCGCGATGCAACGCCGATCCCGGGGATGGGGCCGAGAGCTCCATGTGGAGCCCACGTGGCCGCCGCGAAACCGCTCCACAGCAAGGCTGCGCGACATCTGGCAGGACCCCAGGTCTCCGCCCAGATGGAGCAGGAGGAGGAGGAGGAAGGGAGGAGGAAGAGGAGGAGGAGGAGGAGGCTCTGGGCCACTGCTCTTCGCACCGCGGCCGCACGCGCAGGCAGCTCGGAGCTCGAGCTTGGGGGGGGGGGGGCCTCCTCGCGCCCGGCCGGCGTTCCGCCGCCCGCCCTCCTGCCCTGGGTGCGAGCGGCCCGCCGTGGAGCCCGGGGAGGTGCCCAACGCGGCGCGCCTTCCGCGCGCGCGCGCGCCTGGGGCGGGCTCGCGCGTGCCTCCCCGCGGCCTGCCAGCGGCGGGTCGGGCGGCCGAGGGCGGCTCGCCGCCAGCCCGCGCTCGGGGGCTGCCGGAGGTGCCCCCGCGCGGCCCAGGGTGCGCCTCCCTGAGCCTCTCGTGCGGGTCGGGGCCCCTGCCGGCCTCGCGGGGGGTGCTCCATCCCTCGGGGATGGCGGTCCTCTGCGGACTCCCTGCGCCCGCCTGGGCCGCCGCCGCAGCTGCCGCCCCGACTGGGCCGCCCGAGGGCACCGCTGGCATATGCCGGAGCAGCTCCGGCAGGGAGACAGCCGCAGCTCAGAATCGGTCCCTGGACCCCTCCCAGGGTCCAGACGCACTAGCCTTCCGATCTGCGTCCAGCCGTGACCGAGAGGTGGGCCCGGCAAGGAGGTATTGAGGTGCGATGGGTGTCATGTGCTTCGGGGGAATGGCTCCAACGATAACCCCGAAGGGCCTTCGATCAACCCCCTGGCAATAATGGGCAGGGGAGGGGATTGAGGATGAGGAGGAAACGAATGAGGGAGGGGAAGAGGATGATGCTGCTGCTGCTGATGATGTTGTTGTTGATGTTGTTGTTGATGATGATGCTGATGATGACGATGACGATGACGATGACGATGACGATGACGATGACGATGACGATGACGATGACGATGACGATGACGATGACGATGACGATGATGATGATGATGATGATGATGATGATGATGATGATGATGATGATGATGATGATGATGATGATGATGATGATGATGATCGCGGCCGGGAGGAGGAGGAGGAGGAGGAGAGGAGGAGGAGGAGGAGGAGGAGGAGGAGGAGGGGGAGAACGAGGAGGAGGAGGAGGAGGAGGAGGAGGAGGAGGGGCAAGTTTCTATTCCCCGCCGAGAGCTTAGGGATGGGTCCTCAACCTGAAAGACCCTTCGCGGCTACCCTTGCAGCAACTCGCCCTCATCTGAGCAACACCCCGAGCCCGAGGGATGCGGCGGCGAGCAGCCGCGGGCCCACTTGCCGCCGTTGGCGCAACAAAGACGCCCACCAAGCACAATGCACAAGGCTGCTGTGTTCAGATCCCCCGTGCCCCCCCAATTTCTTTCAATGTCGAAACCGGAGTTGCCTTGGCGGTGGCGTTGCGGGCGTTTTTTTTCTGCCGATGCCTGCGCCCCGACAGCGGCCGCGAAAGCAACATTGAACTGGGGGGGGGAGTCCGGGGGGCGGCACCGTCGCAGCAACGCCTGTGGATGGGCGCTTCTTATACGCCACCAGCGGAATGGGCCGCCGCCGCCGCCTCGCCGCTGTCTCGCCTGGGACGCTCCTCATCGCCGCTGTCTCGCCTGGGCCGCCGCCGCCGCCTCGCGTGGGCCGCTGCCGCCCGCCGCCGCCACGCCCCGAGCCGGCGGCCGGCTGCCGGCGGCCGGCTGCCGCGGGCCCGGCCGGCCGGGGCGGCCGGGAGGAGGAGGAGGAGGAGGAGGAGGAGGAGGAGGAGGAGGAGGGAGGAGGAGGAGGAGGAGAGGGGAGGAGGAGGAGGGGGAGGAGGAGAGGAGGAGGAGGAGGAGGAGGAGGAGGGGAGGAGGAGGGGGAGGAGGAGGAGGAGGAGGTGTTGAGGAAGAGGAGGAGGAAGAGGGCCGGGGCGGCGCCTGTCGGGCGGCCCCCCGCGCGGCGGGCGCACGGGCTGCGGGTGCCGCTCCGGCGGCCTGGCGCGGCGCGGCGCGGCGCGGAGGCGCCGGCGCAGGCCGGCCGCGGCCGTCGCGCGGCGATGCCGTCGCCGGCCGCGGCCGTCGGTGGCCATCGTCGCCGTGGGCCGTGGTCGGCGTGGTCGCGCGGATCGGCGGGTCGAAGATGGGTTCCTGAGGGATGGGGCCCTGAGGCCAGGAAGCAGGTGAGTGATTTCTTGTTCGGCGTTGTGTGTTGTATAAGATACAATGATTTTTTCGGGCCTCCACCTCTCACCCCTTCCCCCCCCCCGACCTTTACCTTGGACATCGGGGGGGGGCGGGGAGCAGCAGATGCGCCGTCTGTATAACGTGTTATGCATGTGTTCTCCGTCTCAAGTTCTTTGGGGCTCAAGCGTTCATGCCCATTTCGCTTGAGCTCGAGTCAGTGGGCTCGACTTCTCCATCCCGCGCGGGCAGTGCGATATCTTCTGCTGGCTCGTCCTGGGAGCTGGTGGGCTCTGAGTGCGGGGAGCTCCCTTTGTTCCTTGCGGGGCAGGCGCCGTGCCTGCCAGAGGGCGGGGGTCGAATCCTCGCGACGGCGCGCTGCGGCGGGCCGCTCCTGGTGTTCCTCTGGACGCTCGTGACCGTGGTCCGTGACCCGCCGAGTCCTGAGGAGCATCCGCTGGAGGGTGAGGACTTCACGCCGGAGCGGGTGATGCCAGTGGAGGTATGGAGCAGGCGCTACTACCGCCGGAGCGCGACGGATGGCCAGGAGATTTTCTTAGTTCGACGGAAGACTGGGAATTGCTGGGCGGCCTTGCTGCCAGATCTTTCCATGGGTACCATCACGATCACTGCGAAGACGACTGTCTTCTCCGATCCCGTGCCCGGGATCCGCTGGCAAGCGCTGCCGGCTCTCACTCAGGTGCAGAAGAACAGCTTCATGCAGCAAGCTACGGACGGGCTGCGAGCGGGTACTATTCCAGCGCTGGAGTTGTATCGACCGGGCCGTCAGGCCCAGCAGGCCGTCGCCATCAACGTGGTCTATGCTATGGCCAGCTCGGCACGCTCTTCACTGCGTACGCTGCGGTGGGCATTGCGCTCGCCGTACCGTGTGCTGGGGCTGCTGGCGCTGGGCTTCGTGCTGTTCGAAGCTCTGAAGTACCTGGGGGTGGTGGATATGATCGTGGAGACTTGGCTCGCGCTTGTGAGCTGGATGGTGGCCTGCCTGGACGCGCTCATCGAGTCGTCCGAGACGATCCAGGAGTGGGTGTCCTACGGAGGCGAGTGGGTGGACTGGGCTCGGAAGCTCATGCCGCTGCGTCGCTGGGCTGCTCTACTGTTGGCGCTCATCCTGCTCATGTTCTGGGGTGCCCACGAGATGCAGGAAGGGGAGGAGGCTGGTCACTCATCGGTGGCTTCGTCCTCTGCATCGTCCGTGGTCGGAGACGTCGGAGGGGCCGCTGTCGTGGGGCCTCCCTTGCCGCCACCTTCGGCGTCTCCCCATCCCGTCGCGGCTGCCTCCGACGCAGCTCTCGTGGCCCAGTTGGACGACTTAGCCGAGTCTCAGAGGGCGATGGCCGCGGAGCTGAACGAGATCAGGATTGCCGAGCGGGCTCGGGAGCTGAGGCGGTCGGCGATGGTGTCCTCGAGCGCGGACCGTGGTGCCGAAGTGGCTGCTGCCAACCAGCTGCAGATCCAGTCCATGCCGAGCCGGCTCGACGAATTCGAGGCTCGCCTGCAGGGAGGTGCGGTGGCGGGATCTCCTGCGGCAGCGGCGGGACCCTCTCCTGCTACGCCTGTGGGCACAGGGGACGGTCCCACATCGCCGGCCCGCGGGGACGCGACGGTGCCCATGGAGACTCCCGACAAGCGTGCTGCTACAGAGCCCGCCGAGGCGGTGTCCTTGGCCATCAAGCGGATGAGGTTCAAGGCTCAGATGCCGCAGCAGGTCTTCCTGGAGCAGCTGGAGGACTTCAAGGAGTGCCCGGCCTCGGAGTGGGCGACGAAGATGCCGGAGGGCTACAGGGAGAGGATCGCGCCGGACGTGCTCTCGGAGGTCTACTCGACCGGGAAGACGGCGGAGGCTTGGGCGAGGGACTACATCAGGGATCGTGGTCTCACCGACTGCAACACCGCGCGGGAGATGATTGCGACCTTCGCGGCCGTGGACACGATGCTCATGACGGACCGCCAGAAGGGGCTCTTGAACCAGGTGAGCTTCGAGAGGCTGGTCCGCAAGGGGTACGCGTTGGTGAGGGCCTACCGCAATGTGCACTGCCGGGACGACTGGAGCAGGCCCAAGGACGCCAAGAGCTGGAAGTCCAAGGTCGACTGGGAGGCGGCGCGTCGCTTGGACCCGCAGCTGGCCGACGAGAGCACGATCAGGGTCATGAGTGCCGAGGAGGAGGTGAAGAAGGCAATGGGTCGAGATGCGCAGCTGATCAAGGCACGCACGGACCTGGACGGCGGGGGTGCGAGCCCGCCGTGAGCCCCGGAGAACGCCACACGGGGCTGACTGGCGAAGGTCCGCCAGGAGCCCCTGCACGCGATCGGCCCCGTCATCGTGGCTGGTCAACTTTTCTCTTCTACTTCGGGTTTTCGAGTCTGTGGGACTTCGGCAAGAGCGTCGGGTTCCAGCAGGTGATCTACTGCACGACGAATTGGGTTATTCATGTCGAGGAGGCGGGACATCCTGTCGGAGGTGGTGCTCTTTCCACGACCGGAGAGGCCAACGTCGAGCTCACGGCGGGTACTTTCACGTTGGCGGGAGGAGGTGGACATTGCGCAGCGGGCCAATCGTTGCTTGCTGGGACTCCGCCAACTTTATCGTGGGACGTTGGGCGACGAGCTCTTGCATCCTGGGGAGATCTGGGGTCAAGGCCCACTGCCCAGCACCATGGACGGGGACCTCTCGAAGCGTGTGCTGGAGGAGGTACGTCGCCTACCACCGCCTCCCTCGACGCCCGAGCGAGGAGCCGCAATCTTGCGGCTGCGACCCGCCGCTTCGGCGGCGGAGAACCAATCCCGGTCGACCTATACCCAACGGTTGGCCGAGCTGCGGAGGAGGTGTGCTGGTGGACAGGTACGACTGCCAGACCGGGGCGAAACGTTTCCCGCCCATTGGGAGCGGGTCGCTCTTCCTCCTCCGGGCTCAATGCCGGTGAGTGCGAGGTCTGCGTCGACGAGAGTGGCTCAGATGTTGGACGATTTCGAGAGGGAGATGCTGAAGGAGGATGGCGAGGAGTGCGTCAGGGCCGCGGAGGTGAAGAACTACGTGGACCCGCACTTCCGCCGCAAGAAGGACATGCTGATGCTGGCCAGGCGCATGGCTCTGGCTGGTATGTTGTGCCGCTGCGAGTCAAAGGTGGACGAGGTCGGGCTCTTCTGTGTGGTGAAGAAGGCCGAGATCGTGGACGGCGAGCCTCTGGTGTCATTGCGTTTGGTCTTCGACCAGCGGCGTTCCAACCTACGATGGCGGGCTCCGCCGTGGTGTGCCATGGGCGGTGTCAGTGCCATGTCGTTCTTGGACGTGTCAGAGGAGATGACGGAGGAGGGCGCTCGAATGGTTTTTGGTACTGGCGACCTCCCCGACTTCTACTACACGTTGGACCTGGGCGAGGCGATCGCGCCCTACTTCGTGCTGCCTGGTGTCCGGGCTTCGGAGCTGCTCGACGTTCTCCCCTCGGACGCCCGCCTGAGCGGGTCGGGCGAGCACGTTGGTGTGCGGGTGGCGCTGATGGGTTTCTCGTGGGCCTGCTGGATGGCTCAGACGACTATGGAGGACCTGTTCAACTCTGGTCCCTCCGTGGGCATGCCCGCCCTCGCCGAGGAGCAGCGTCTGGCAGAAGGCGGTCCGCTGCCCCTGATCAGTCGGGAGGTACCTGCGGCTCACTACGAGTACATCGACGACTTCGGCATCATCGGGGTGGACTACCCTCCCGTCGCCGACGCCGAGCCGCCTACGCAGATCAGGGACATCTGGTTGGGAGCCAAGTACCTGGTGAACGCCGCGGGTTTCAACGTGCACAAGGACGACTGCTCGGGACAGGCTCGGATGATCGGTGGAGACTTCGTGGGCACACGCCTCGCCCCGAACCGGGACAAGATGTGGCTGGCCGTGGCCGGGGTGAGCGAGATTCTCAGGCAGAGGTCGGAGTTCCCGGACGCGGTGGCCAAGATCGTGGGTATCCTGTCCTGGGGCTTTCTGATCACTCGAGGGGCCCTGAGCGTTTTCTCGGAGGTCTACCACTGGTGCATGGAGTTCCGAGGGGGCTCCCGCCGTCGGCTACCCGACGAGGTCCTTCGCGAGCTGGCCGTGGCAGCGGCTGTGGTGCCGCTGGTGTCTGTCGACCTGGCCATGCCCTGGGACCCCACGGTGACGATGTTCGACGCGAGCCTCTACGGGGGGGCCATTATCTCAGCCCAGGCCGACATCCAGGAGATGCGTCGAGAGGCACGCTTTGCTGTCAGAGGAGGGTGGACCGTCTGGACTGGCATCTCGTCTTCCTGGGCGGCGGACTCTTGGGCAGAAGGCGAGGCGTATCGGCGAGTCGCCGAGGGAGTCGAGCTCGGGATGCGCGTGAGGGCACCTCCAGTGCACGCTTGCTGGGACGACATGTCGAGGTGGAAGGAGATGGTCCGCTGGCGCTGGGACGAGAAGGAGCACATCAACCTTCTGGAGATGAGGACGGGTCTGGCGGCGGTGAGGCACTCCGCTCGGTCGCGTGCGAGCTGGGGTCGCCGTCACCTTCGCATCACCGACTCCATGGTGTGCCTGGGCGGCTTCAGCAAGGGCAGGTCGGCCAGCGAGCCGATCCTCATCCTGTGCCGCCGGATGGCCGCGATCGACCTGGGTTGCGGCATGAGGGAGTACTGGCGTTGGGTGCCGTCCGACCGCAACCACAGCGACGGCCCCAGCCGGGGCTTCCCGATCGGGCAGGCGCCGAAGGAGCGACTGCAGGGCGAGACCGTGCTGCCCGCCGAGACGGGGCAGGTGATCGAGGAGTTGGCGGACATCGCGGAGGAGGATCCCTTCG